TTCTCCTCCCAGCCTGTGTCTGTGCTGGGAGGTGACACCTCACGGCTAGAGGACTGAACACCAGGTTTTCAGAACAATTATTTCGTGCTCTCGCCATATAGGATGAGTGTGGAGAGGATCTGAGATTTCTCCCCATTTGTTGCAGCATTTTCTACTCAGAACACACCAGTTTCCTCTCTGTCCACAGGTTGTTACTAGAAAGCCGTCCATTCTGGCCCGTAGTCTGGCACTAAAAGGCATCCTGCCTGATAAAAACATCCCCCTCTGACTTCAAACACAATAAAAGCAGGACATTGCCATGGACAATATCCACCCTCTCACTTCTCTTTTTTAAAATTATCATTTAAACACACATTGTTACAAATAACCTCAAAAAAGCAGCAAAAACGAACAGAAAAAGTTCTGCTTTTCCCAGCGGGGTCTGATTTTACACCCTCCCCGCGACACCCCAGTTCCTCTCCACGTTTCAAAGTCAGAGCTCCTCATCGCTCACCCAAATCCCACAAGTGATGGGACAGAAAAAAGAAACCGCAAACTGATGGTGGGGCAGAAGGAGGAGCCCAGGAAGGTTCCCTGATCCCCCAGGGTGTGCTGGTGGGAAGGGAGCTCAGTTTGCAGAGGCAGATTTTGGGGTGTGCAGCTTCTCAAACGAAATTTGTGCCTTTCCTCCAGCCCTCTCGCAGGCTGTAACACTCACGGAGGGTTTCTCTGCCAAAGAGAGGAGGGATCAGCCTTATGGAGGTACAGCAGGGTGCACAAAGCAGCTGCCAGAGCTCTGCCTCATCCGGGATCACGTGCAGGATGCGACGTTTCGGGCCATCTGATCCTCACCAGGTCCTGTGTCCTGCTGCTCCATCTCATACAGGTATAAAAAAATAAAAATCTATCACGCTTGTCAGCGCTGAAATGTTGACCTCCAGCAACTCCAGACTGGAGGCTAAAAAAAGTTCTTATTGAAACAAAAAGCTTCAAATTCATCTTGTAAGAGGCCAAAACGCAACCAGAGGCACCTAACTTGCCCTGTGTCCCTGCCACTGAGCATACACGGTGGGTAGGTCCTTGCTGTGGTGACGAGGACAGCAGGGACAAGGGACCTGCCACCACTGAGCCGTTACCTGCCGCCTTCTCTGAGCTTCTTGCTCTCGTTGTAGTGAAGGAGCCACTTCCACCTCCCGCTTCTGTTCAGCTTCTCCAGCACCTTCACCACCTCCTTCAGTTGGCCTGGGGAAAGAACAAGAGCTGGAGGGGGGCAGAAGGGGGCACCTGGGGGTCTCTGGCCCAACCCCTGCTCCAGGTTGGACCACCTGAGGTTGCTCAGGGCTTCCTCCAGGTGAAGGTTGAATATCTCCAAGGAACAAGTGATGGGACAAGAGGAAACAGCCTCAGGTTGCACCAGGGGAGGTTTAGGCTGGAGATTAGAAAAAATTTCTTCACTGCAAGAGTGCTCAGGCATTGGAACAGGCTGCCCAGGGCAGTGGTGGAGTCACCATCCCCGGAGGGGTTCAAGAAACGTGTAGATGTGGTGCTTGGGGACATGGGTCAGTGGGTTGGGTGGTGTTGGGGTGACGGTTGGACTTAATGATCCTTGAGGTCTTTTCCAGCCTTCATGATTCCGTGATTCTACGGAGACTCACAACCTGGGTTGTGAAGCTGGGATCCTGTCCTGGTGTTTGAACACGCTTGCTGTGAATTTTTTCCTCCTAACATCTAAAAGGATGAGAGCAACTTGTCCCCGTCACCTCTTGTCCCATCACTGCACACGTCTGGGAGGAGCATGGCTCCGTTTTCTCTTCCCCTTCCCACCAGGGAGCTGAAGACAGCAACAAAATCTCTTTGCCCTCCCTCCTCCAGGTGAACGTCCTTCTACAACCCCTACTCCAGCCCCTGACCATCTCGGTGGTCCTCTTAAATGTTTTTGGGAGCCTGGACCCACAATCCAGGTCTGAGGTGTCAAACAAAGGGAAAGAAATGTCCCTACTGAAGCAGGAGCAGAGGACACCAATGGCAAGTTTTTGGAAGGAGTCAACAACCCAGCAGACAAGGCCAGGAGGAGACTCACCCAGCGTCACCGTTTCCAACACCTCGGCGTCCAACACCACGAAGCCACCGGTCTGAAACAGCTCCTGGTAAGTGTGACGTGTCAAATCTTCGGGGCTGTCCACTCCGGCGAACACCACGTTGGGACAGTGCTTTAGCTTCAGCAAGCACGGGACCTGCTCAAGGAAGACGTGGTTTTGCACGCTCAGCTGTGTTTCGATGGTATTTGCACTTTTCGGCCGCTCACACCCGCTCCTGGGAGATCTGGGGAGCTCACCCCGTCCCCCATCAGCATCACCCCAACGCTCGGATCTCCATCGCCCGACCCCAAAGCCGTGTTTGGTGACACGGGGAGCTCCAGGTGGCTCAGTCTGCAGCAATATTCATGAGCCAAAGCCTGGCTGAACTGCTCCGTTACGCTAGATAAGCCCAGCCTGACTCCTTTCAGCTGGGCTACTCCAAGTGATGTTATTCAGCAATTAAAAATGGAGACAGAAAAAAAGCAGAACTGACAGGCATCATAATAACATCATATCAAAATATTTTTTGAGATATTTGGTTTTAAAAGCTCTGTTCTTTCAGTGGAGAGAACAGCAGAGAGTGACAATTAAATCTACGGCTATATATAGTGTAAAATCTAAAAAACCCTTTCAAATGGATCCTGATATTAAAAAATAGCGCTGGTGGGGAAAAAAAAAAAAAAAAAGGATGGACTCAAGCCTTACGTTGTGGATGTGCGAAGAAATGTCCTCATTCCTGATGACGACGAGCAGTCTGTCGGTGTCTGGGTGTTTTGCTTTGCAGAAGCTCGAAGGTTCGATCTCCACGTGGCCGTCCTTCCTCAGCAAGGTCTGAAACAGGAATTGAGAAGGTTTGGATGGAAAATATCTTCATAATAGTGGTGCCACGCTCCCGGGACATGTGTGCTTGGGGACAAGGACAGAGGAACGAGACTGTGACCCCAGCCAGCGGTGGAGGAAGCAGCCATTTACCTTTCTTGGCAAAAACCTTTTAAAACCACCTTGAGCATCTCACCTTGCCCTGCATCAGGTCTCTTTGCTATTCTGGAGCAGCAAATTCTTCCCACGCAATCACCGTCCCCAAGTTTCCAACCCTTTAATGAGAGCTCATGCAAAAGCCACCTTGGGGGGGGTCAGAGTTTGGGCTGCTGCCCTCTGAACTCTGATCCGTTTTGGCCCAGGGAATGTTCAAGTGATAGGACAAGAAGAAAGAGCCTCAAGTTGTGCCAGGGAAGGTTTAGATGGATATTAGGAAAAAATTCCTCCACCAAAGGTTTGTCAAGTGCTGGAACAGGCTGCCCAGGGACACGGTGGAGTCCCCATCCCTGGAGGGATTTAGAAGATGTGTAGACGTGGCGCTGGGGGACGTGGTTTAGTGGTGGAGTTGGCAGTGATGGGTTTATGGTTGGACTCGATGATCTTAAAGGCCTTTTCCAACCTAAATGATTCTACGATTCTCATTTCTGGTGGCTGGAGCTGAGATGAAACAGTAGAGGCAGCTCCTGGCTCAAAGGAACCAAATCTTTATCAGGGATAAAATACTCCTCCTATCAGGGAGTGGAGTGACAGGATGAGGGGGAACGGTTTGAGCTGGAAGAGGGGAGATGGAGATGAGATCTTGGGAAGAAATGTTTTCCTGTGCGGGGAGTGAGGCAGTGGCCCAGGGTGCCCAGAGAAGCTGTGGATGCCCCATCCCTGGAGGGGTTCAAGGCCAGGCTGGATGAGGCTTTGGGCAACCTGGGCTAGTGGGAGGTGTCCCTGCCCATGGCAGGGGGTGGCACTGGGTGGGCTTTAGGGTCCCTTCCAACCCAAACCATGATTCTACAAAACGCCAGCTCTGCCAGGCTGAGCAAACCTGCCCTGCGCCTGCTCCCGCTGCCCTCAGCTCTCACCCCAGGGTCACCCACCCTCATCCAGAGCCGCAGGACCCACCATTACCTTCACTCTCGCAAAGAAAGGGTCCTCGCCCGTCTCCAGGAGGTAGAACATGTCGGAGCGGCCACAGGCCTCCTTGGCCACGCTGCGCAGGTGGAAACGCAGCGTGCTGCACAGGTCCGCAATCATCTCCTCAAAAGCAGGCGTCTTCCTGGGGAGAGACGCACGAGTCCGCTCACTCGTGGCCTCCCCGTG